ACACTGCAAAAATATGCTCAAAAGATCGTAACAAGTCTCAGGCAACATGAACCACTTTTTTACCAGAAACGACGGTGCATGTTCGCATAGTGTTTGTAAACACCTCTGTTACTGTCGTGTCCTTTGATCTATAAAGGCAGATTTGAAGGAAGACTTTGACGAAGAGGCGTTCTTCAAGAGGAACCGATCGTTAATATGAGTTAGGATCAGACACAGCTGATCATCAGGATCTGAGATCTGGAGTGAACAGCCTTCTTCCATACTGGAAAGTAGGAGGTCTGCCTCCTCCAGGGGGCGCCATAGCACTACAGGAGAGGCACAGAAACGCTCTATTATTTAAAGTTTGGATTTTCATGGATGATTTTTTGTTAATGTTTTCATAGAAGAAGATTAAGGAAATGGGGTTTGTTTTTCGACTTGTAAATGTGGAAAAAGTTGGTTGGTTTGATGAGGCGGTGGGATGGGGGTTCAACAACAATGGCTGCTCACTGACAATGGTTCATGTTGCGTATCATTTGTAGGGATATTTTGAGCATGTCTGAGTTAAGAATACATGCCATAGTCTTGGTCATCAGAAAAATCTTACCACCGACAATCACCGACCTCTGACCACAGCCCAACCTGCTTCAACCCTTCAGGTAATAAAGGAACACAGTTAGCACTCATGCCTAAACATCATGTGCTTTACATTCACTGAAGCATGCGTTGGACTTTGCCTTACATGCAAAAAAAAACCCAAAAAACTGAAAACCCAACCACGAAATCATGGAGTAACAAACAACTGCCATCGGAGGAAATGTTTCAAAACCCACAACGACTTCTTCCGAGTACAGAATTGTTCTCTTCTGTCCCGCACAAGGAACGGTCACACATGCAGCATCGTTCAAAACAATGGTCCTTCTTTAGTGCAAACACGTCGTCCGTCACCGACTTCACACCGACTTCACACCGACTTCACACCGACTTCACACCGACTTCCTCCTGGAACGAGGAAAGTCCCGGAAGCTGTGCCCGGGAGAGAGGGTACTTCCTGGAGAGGAGAGTCCGGTGTTGTCCCTCGAACCCTTCACCCTGTGTGTGCTGTCGTAGTGAACAGAGGTGACGCGGCAGCCGGGGGGGGGGTCACGGTGGGACATGAGGGGGCTGTCACAAATGCCTAAGCGGTAGCAGACACAGGAGCAGAGGGAGCTGAGGCTGGACTCCGCCCTCGGTCTCCCCCCCTTGATCTGGAAGTGCAGCCTGTGCCTGCAGGGGCTCCTGCGCTGCTCCTGATCCTCCACCGGGGACGCTATAAGGTTAGTGCAGCTGGTCCCTTCCTCCATCGGCAGGTAGAGGGTGCTGTGGCTGCGAATGGTGACCACGTTGGCCCTGGTCTTCTGCCGGTGGCCACTTCTGCACTTCTCCTCTCCGGCACGCAGTCCAACAGCGCCCCCTATACGAAGGCCCTTGTCCCTCTTCAGGGACGCCCTCTCCTGAGCGTCCCTCCGCTCGTCCTCGGTGTTCATGGTGAGGAAGCGCAGGACCACCAAGTTGAGGAAGGCTCCGATGACCGTGAGTCCCACCAGGATGTACATGAAGCTGAAGACCACGTAGGGCGTCTTCTCCTGCAGGTCCTCCTTTTTCTGCAGGGCCACGAAGTCCCCGAAGCCGATGGTGGTGAGCGTGATGAAGCAGTAGTAATACGCATGGAAGAAGCTCCAACCCTCGAAGTAGGAGAAGGCCCCTGCCCCCACGCACAGGGTCCCGATGCAGGACAGGAAGCCCACGAGGACCATGTTCTCCATGGACACCTCGGTCCGCCGGAACCCCACGCACTGTTTGATCTTGTGGAGGAGGTAACGGACGAACGTGTTCATGCGTTCTCCCAGGCTCTGGAACATGACCAGGGTCAGCGGTATACCGAGGACAGCGTAGAACATGCAGAAGATCTTCCCTGCGTCCGTCCCCGGTGCAGCGTGTCCATAACCTTCATGCAGAGACATGGAGATCAGAGCAGGAAACACGGACCGGAAGACAAATATTCATGATTCCAAACGGTCATGGAAAAATATAAAAAAGGTATTTGACTCAATTCAAGGTCTCGTGTCATATATTTATGGGCAACACTAACAAATATATATACATAAATATATACAATGTATTGGTACAGTAACATTTTTCTTTCACTTGTGTTCTGTGATGGTCACATATACAAATATATGTATGTACATATATACATACATATATAAATATATATATACATATATAATACACATATATAATAACATATATATGTATATCTACATATGTATCCACATAAATTTACATATATACATACATATGTATATGAATATATGAATGTACATATATACATACATATATACCTATAGTTACATATATGTATGATATATGTATGTACATATATACATACATATATAAATATACATACACATATATAGTAACATACAATTACATATAAGTAAATATGTATATTTACATATGTTATACATGTATGTATTCACATAAATTTACATAGATACACACATATGTATATGAATGTATGTGTACATATATAAATATATACACACATACTCATTTTTCTTCTCTTTATGTGACAGTTGTACTATTAGTATTACTGTAGTATTCACCAGTTGCACACTGACAAATACAACTTAATATTCAATCTATAAATACATGTCAATCAAACATGCATTGACTTTCTACGCACGTAAACGCACCACCACCGTGCACAGTGACCTCACTCACCGATGGTGGTGATCACAGTTATGGCAAAGTAAAAAGAACCAGCGAATTTCCACTGTCGGCCGGCGCGGTGCGGCTCTGCCTGCAGCACCACCCGCTCGATCTCCCGGTAGTCGTCCTCGGAGAAGCGGTACTTCTTCTTCATCTCGCTGCGCTTCTGCTCCAGGACGCGCCTGCGGGAGCTCTCCGACTCCGACTCCAGCGCGTCAAAGACCGCGGCGCCGACCAGCAGGTAGGAGAACATGCAGAAGATGAGCGACAGCGTGCGCACGTTCTGCTTCTTCATCCTCGGCGTGGAAGTCGGATAAAAAAAATAAAAATAAAAAAAACCCGAGCCACGACTGGCGCGGTCACAGATGGCACAGTCGCTCTCGCGTGGAGACTTGGCGTGAGCGGTGCAGCCTGTTGCTCACCAGCACGCAGATTCCGCTGGGGAGGGGGGAACGGGAGGGGGAGACGGGAGGGGGCGTCGGAGAGCGGCACCTGGAGGATCTTCCTCAGCAGGTTAAAAGATCGTGTTGATGTTTCACGGTGCGCAGTGGGAGAAAACACGGTCATCTGTTCAAACAAGTGGTCGCTGCTTCTGCCTCAACGCATGCGCAAAAAACACTCAATAGCGCCCCCAAAAAGGGGGGGGGCAGGAGAAATCACTGACCACCCACCTGACCCCCCAAAACATGACATGTTGTCTTATTAAAAAAAAAAAAAACGGGTCAGCTTTTTATTAATCGTTGTTCACACTTTTTATCTTTACGATTTTAATTCTTGAGAAATGTGATTATTTCAACAATGCTACATTTTTGTTGTTTTTTAATTTGTTTATTCCAACTCCAGCTCTGTGAACACCACCACCATCATCATGATCATTTATTTATTTTCTCCAACAGCAGCTCCTCAGACACCTCTGGCTCTACATCGCCTCCTGTCGTTCAGACGGTCTTCAAACACTACACCCTCACCGACACACACCTCTAGTTGAACACAGCACTGATATACTCACAGGGATTGAAGAAAGACACACAAAGATCTCTTTCTATGTAGTGCTCTATATAGGGTGTAGGGGGCGGTTTTGGACACTGCTGCCACCTAGTGGAAGAGTATTTAATTGTTCAGCCTCTAACTGTCGCATAGACAAATTAATATTATCTCTGACTAAATAACCGTTTTCAGATCAATTGATTGAAGTTCAATCATTCTCCATGGTGACCAGATTAGGTCTTATGGTCCACTAATGTGCCACGGCCCAGGGGTTGGGAAACACCGTTTCAACCTATACATCCAGCACAAAGGTTATGCATGAAATAAATGCTGCGTACAGCGGCTTTATAACCAGCATTCCAACGCAGCGCTTCAGGAGACTTTCTGTGAAGGCTGCTGGTTGCCATGGTTACCTAAGCCAGCCTGTCAGCGATGCTGAGGCTCCCATGTTAAATGTAACGGTCCGGTGAGTCATGTTGTCAGGGCATCGACGCATGTGTCCAGGTATCGTCGCTCAGACGTTTGGAGACAGCAAACACATTTCTGTCCGACTTCTGACTCTGGTTTCACGCCGTCTGATTCATCCTCCCTGTGTCACAGTGGGTATTTGCGGCACCCACAGCACACGTGGGCTGCTTCCCTGTGTCCTTCGGAAACACAGCGACCCACTGGCCCTCCCTGCATATGTGTCAAGGGTATAATTCAGCACACACACACACACACACACACACACACTCCTAATATAATCGAAAGAAGCTCCTGTGGAAACAATGAGCTCAAAGTAGATAAGAAATGAATCTGGAGTTTATTATTTACACATTTTATTTCTATCAGACCAAGACCAACGAGGAAACTAGAACAGTGAGAGCGTCCTCGCCGATGACATCACCATGTGGTATATTTACTCATATAAACTGAACATACATTGTAGATACATTAAATCTAATGTATCTAATGAATAAATATATTAATGATTATATTCTTACAGTACAGTATATTACTACACACTACTACTATTTAATTATATTTATTTTATTTCACTTGTTCAGGATCTACCAGCATTTCCTTTCCAATCTACTGACCGGTGACCTCTGACCCACGCCGTGAGGTGTGGACTGCAGAAGGTTAACAGAGGAAATCCAGCTTCTTCTGTCTCCAGGTTTTTAAATGTAAATTGCTTGTGTGGCTGCATGGAGCAGCAGCAGCAGCAGCAGCAGCAGCAGCAGCTGTGCTTTGACAAAGATTAAAGAGAAAATTAGAGACGTGGACGATACAAGAATGAAAGATTAGAATTAGAATCAGGATTCAGCCTCAGACGAACCTGTCGACAATTTTAAATCGCAGCTTTCTATTTACTGACGTTCCATCAAAGTTAGGCCTCGGTGCAGTAACATAACTGTCCTTTTGGGAAGCATCTGTTTCCTAAACTCCATCCCAACTCTTTAAAGACTCATGTACTTGGCAGGTTTATAGGTTTGTAGGTTACAGACCTCCAAAGTTCAGCTCTTTTTTTTTTTTAGATTATTTGATCCTGCCTTTCTGATATTGCCGTGGCTTTTTCCCTGTTATGAAACAAACATACATGTAACACGAATCCGCAATCAGGTGGTGCAGAATTCCACCACATCAGCCTCGACTCCATCCACCTGCAGCGGCAGGTTTAACTGTCATCAGTTAAGCAGGAAACCAGACAGCAGCTCCCACAGCATTTATACAAAGGACTCTAGTGACAATAAGGTAAAAGCAAATTCATTTAAGGGGCAGAGACTCTAAACAGCAACAGCAAATAACAGATGCCTGCAGAGCTCGCTGGTTTCCACAGTAACCACAGCACCAAAAATAGAATTCCACACCAGTGGGCATTCAACACTGGAACCCCTGAGATAACAGCCTGTTCTATTTATACCTCCTTAATCATAATACAGCCCTGATGTATGAAAGCAACCGTCTCTGAATGCCATCAAAGGAATCAACGTTATTGGTCCGTTTGCTCTGAGCAAATGTCACAAGTCAGAAGTCACTCTTTGTGCTGCTGGTCCCTGAAGAGACGTCCCTGAATCTGCTGTTTGTTACAGTCAGAAAGACACAAAGTTGTCATATTATAGCGCAACTGCGAGGTAAGGGATAAGGTATAAGCCTGCTATATATATGTGTGTGTGTGTGTATATATATATATATATATATATATATTACACTGAAATACAGAAAATGAAGGAATGTACAATGTTTGCGTGAAAAAACGTACCCTTCCAACATGGCCGCCTACATATAGAAAATACTGGCTTCTCAAATTATTACTATTATTATCGATGCTGTTGTTGTTGTCGTTGGTTTATTTCACCTAAAAAAAAAACAACAATTTACCATCGCGGATAAGTGAAAGTAAATTTAAAGTAGTGATATTTCTGGCCACACAAAGTCAAATATTACCTTTAACTGACGTTTTCACATTTATCTTTTAACCTTGTTTAACCTTTTAACCTGGTCCCGTTTTTGACTTGTTGTCGTTTTACGTCACTTTTTCGGTCATGGTCGAATGGAGAGGCAGCGTATCTTTAGAAGATGACACCGAAACGTCGTTTTTTAAATTAGTTTTTAGTTTTTAAAACATGGATTAGCGAACGTGTTGAGTTTGTGGCAGTGGCGCAAAAAAAAAAAAAACCTACACAGACGGAGGCACCTGAAGGCAACATCTGCGCTACAGCCACTACAGCAACTGTCTGGTAATGGTCGAGTGGGAGAGACGGATGGTCAGAGCCGTCCACGTCTAACCGGACCATGAACCCGCGTGCATGACCAGGTTCATGTCCGTGTCCACTGCCGCACCGGGTTAAGAGTTTGATGCCATTAGCTCGTGACGTTGTAAAAGAATGGAGGACGATTGGGTGTGTGAGTACGACTCGACCTGGGACACAGAGAGTGATGGAGACGACTCGGCTGGAGAGAACCAAAGCCGACGGTCAAGTCAAGACAAAAACAAATCTGGCTGGAGTTTAGTACGTAGTTTATCCAACTATGACTCTTTTAACAGCGTCAACGCCGTTAGTTTGTTGACGTTTCCTGTCCTGTCGCATCTGCAGAACCTTACGCCGTGAAGCGAATGTTAGCCGTATGTGGCTAACTAGCCTGGTTAGCAGCTAGAGTTAGCCTTGTTTTAGTGGTTTTTAGTGTTGTGTTTACATGTTTTCTTCTCCCTGGTTGGACGGTTATTCAAAGTGAATATTTTGTAGTCGACTTGTCACGTTAGTTGTTCTTTTCTAACCGTGATATCACCGCAGTAGTTGAACGGTTAGCTTGGCCTCACTTTACTGTAGGTCAACTTGGTAATAACGCAGTCCCTGGTTATTTATTCTTATTCTTTTCGTTATGTGGTGACGGTATTACATAACGCTGAATAACCGAGTTCGATTATTCAGTCAGGGATCGTGAGATTTGAGCAGAAACGAGGAAAATGTTCACGGTTATTGTGACGCCTTGGCCACTTGAAACAATTTCGCTTTCGTTTCTGTTAGCAGTGGCATCCCACGCCCAGAAACGTCAGGGCAGCGAAGGACATGCAGAACTACAGGAGAGGATACCCGGTGAGGATGACAGTGGAAAAACACCCTGAAGTATCTGGCCTTAGGTCTGATAACCTGCCCGAGATGGTGATTCTATTTCTTTCTTTCTTTCTTTTCTTTTTGTCAGAATCTCACAGATGAGGAGTGCTCCGAGGACAAAATGAACAACTTGCAGTTTTATCTCAACAAGTTTCCCTCTGCACCCGACGGTGAGTTTTTACAACCGCAGCATCTTTCAGATGTATGGATGACAGGGGCTGCATTTTACAAGTTCCCTTTTTTTTCTCTCTCTCTTGTCGTCCTCTCACTGGGCACAGACATCTACATCGAGTCGTTCCTGAAGGAATGGAAAACCGACTACAAGAGACTGGAGAGAGTTCACTCGTACATTCAGTGGTACGTTCACCTTTTGGCTGTATCCAGTAGTCTGCTGCACAGGTCATGTAATAACAGTTATAAATAGGGATGTCTGACAATATATCTGGAGGTTGACTGGTGTTGTCTTTGTTTGTTTGTCTTGTTTGTTTCCCTTCTCCCAGGCTGTTTCCGCTGCGAGAGCCGGGCGTTAATTACATGGCTTCAGAGCTCACCAAGAAGGAAATTGAGGTGAGTCTGTACTGGGAATCACCGTCTCTTTAAATAAACGTGTCACCAGACAGTGCCATATTTTCTTTTAGTCCTTGAGTCAGTCTATATTTTCTTTTTTCTCCTCCTCAGGCCTTTAAGAACAACGAAGATGCCAAACGGAGACTTGTGGAGTCTTACGAACTCATGTTGGGCTTCTACGGCATCCAGTTGGTCGACAGAAAAAACGGTGAAGTCAAACGGGCTGACAACTGGAAGGAGCGCTTTGGAAACCTGGAGCGGTGAGTTCACGTCACTGTGAGACTCGCGGTTTCTCAAATACATATTCTCTTGTTTTTCAACGTTCTTTTTTTTTTTTTTTCCAGAAACATGCACAACAATCTGCGCATCACCCGCATCCTGAAGTGTCTCGGGGAGCTGGGGTTCAAACACTACCAGGCGCCGCTGGTGCGCTTCTTTCTCGAAGAGACTCTGGTGAAGAAGACTCTGAGCAGCATTAAACGCAGCGTGCTCGACTATTTCCTGTTTGCCGTCAAGGACAAGCAGAAACGTCAGGAGCTGGTGCGTTTTGCGTACCAAAACTTTGAGCCAAAGGATAAGTTCGTGTGGTGTCCCAGAAAGATTCAGAAACAATTCCGAAAGCTGGAGAAAGGCAGGTTAGACGCCATCGGAAATGGTGATGCCAAGGAAGACGCGTTTGCGCGAGGGAAACGGAAAGACGAGGAAGAAGTTGTGCCGCAAAAAGAGGTGGAATTAACAGACGACGTGACCGAGGCTCCAAAGGAAACGGAGAAAACGACAAGTAAAACTATGGAAAACGGGAACGCCGAGGTGGAGCTTGAGAGTGAAATGATCGAAAATGGAAACGATTCTGCAGCCGACGATGAAGATGACGGTGATGATGATGATGATGATGAAGTGGAGAAGTCGCCCATCCCTGATACTAAGGCGCTAATTCCAGATCCAGATGATGAAGTTGACCATAGATTCTCCTCAAACTCGGATGATCCCGTGCCGATGATCCTGGACGACAGTATCCAAACGGATGGAGATGCAGACGCGGAAAAACCACCCAAGAAGAAGAGAGAAGATGACCATGTCCTGCAGAGCAATGGCTTCGCTGTAGAACCAGCGGACGGGCAGACGGAGGACCAAACGGGCGCTGCTCAAACCGACCATCAGATGAGTCCATCAGGGCAAACATCGGAGTGGGAGGATTCCCAAAATTCACCCGCTCTGCCTGAGGAAAAAATCCCAAGAACTCGTTTCAGTCCAACACCAGACGAGACCGAAGAGGACGAAGCGATGTCGCAGGAGAGTATCCCAACAAGAAACGGGTCGTTGATGAGTCCTGACAGAGCGATGGATGAGTAGAGCGACGGCGAGAGACTCG